ACTGAGAATGTGGTGGTCAGTGACTGGGGTGGGGCCATGTTCAAGGTACTTCGGAGACCTGCCCTTTTGTGTCAGCACACCTTTACCACGCATATTAGCCGGTAGATGAGGATAGTAACACTTCCAATAAGAGGAGTCGAGCAATGAAGACGCAAGGCAAGTAAGCAGAGAGCTTTCGACCTTGCCTTTGGCTGTCAGTTACTGCGACCCTATCGAATTCCAAAACGTACCAAGTCCTAGACATAGAAGTTAGTGGAATATGTTCTGCTACAGATGCAGCAACCTGTGCCATAGCAGCTGGCTGAGATATCTAGACCTACCACACGGTAACTGTTTGGGGCGTAATATTGGTGATGGAGTAAGCAGAGGTATCTTCTGCGACAAAGTCGTTGGAAAAACGCCGAATGTGGGGTTGAAAGCTCCTAGTAGATAGTCGTAAATGTGAATTTTGTGGAGATAGATGGAGACGAGCAATAAGATGTCTCCCAGAAACATTGGCTTAAAGTTCAGCGATATCCAGCTAAATAGTGGGTGCAAGCTCCATGTTTCATTGCATTGCTCGTTCATGATTCCATCGTTATCTGGTTTAAGCATCCCGGTTAATTGTCATCGTTCATCAAACATGATATCCACATATGACTATTCCACCGTATCCTTCTTCGGTCTTTCACTCACAGATATAAGTTCAAGGAGTTAGCGGCTTGCCACCCCACCCGTCAAGATTTCATGAAACGGCCACGAAAAGTTCATAAGTACCTGCCTGCCTTCAGGTTGCTTATTGCCTCTATAACTGCTGTAAGGACTGAGAGCCCTATCCCAGAACCCCGGTGGATTGTGGACAACCGAAGACCGACTGAAAGCTAGATGAACTGTTCCATAAGGTACGTCTGCGCTCAGTCCAACAGTCCACACTTTTTCCCTTCATTTTCACTGAGTTTCCTTACTACTTTATCTGTTTGGTATATGCAGCTGTCCCTGCTTTTCATCTCTGCTACCTTCTCCATGCATTTAGTCGTTGATACCTGACTTCACTCACTGTCACTGCATGAAATCTTAGTCAGGGAGTCACCCGTCAATAATGGATGTGACTTCAAAGCAGTTATCTTCCGTCCTACCTCGCTATCGTTCCAACAATTGTCTTGATGTAGTATTTAGGCTTACCTCTTTCAGCGACCTGGCAACCTTTACTCCCAGCATTAATTATTATTAGTATATCATGAACGTCTTTTTCAAGGTAGTAAGATTTAAAAGCAGCTGCGACCATGGTACATGAAGCTTGTGCTAGTGCTATGGTTCGAGGAAGAGGCTGTATTGTTGCATGATCGTCACAGCCCGGTAGTTGGGTCTTTCCATTGGATGACTAGCAATCAAAGGTGATACAGTCTTTCCTATCAGAATGGAGGAGGGATTGGAGGCTGCACCCCAAACTAGCCACTAATCCTTACCTCATGGTCTCCTAGTGTCGGGGCCACTGATTTCCGACTCGGAATGCACATAATCAAAACAGTGAGACACTAAGACGACCAAGTGAAAAACAGCCTCCTTTGGAAAAATATCTTGAAGAAGTGTACGGTATTCTATGCATGCGGACAAACCGCGGTTAACATCTCATGCAATTTTGTGCTGACAGGTAATTGTTCCTGGTCAGCGGTAACTTTAGACATGATGAAGGTAATAGTCTGAGTTGGCGTCCACCATCAGCAAGCCGATGGTCTGCAACACTTTCAAAACATTCTTCATTCACTCGTCAGCTCAAGCATCTGCTTGGACTGCGAGGGTGTACTTACAGTGGTGACTCAATGGTGACAGGAAACACACGGCAGCTACGCTCCTCTATACCCAGTTGTAAGATGAAGAAATGAATTGAGTACTTAGAAAAAGATTGCAAATTGCCCCCGGAAATGGCATGACGTGACACTCAGTCTGTTGAGGAAATAGTGGTTTTCAGTTGGTTACCCATATTCAAACGTAGGCGAAAGTCAGTAGATTCCGTTGCAACAATAATAATTGTATACCTCGAATAACGAATTACACCAACACATGCCATTTTTGCAGGCAATATCCAAATGTCATTTCCTTGCTGGAGCCGTAAAAGTATAGAAAGAAACGAATCATCATGCCATACAGTATCCTGAAGTGAAAAATTGTTCGTATATTACTGGTTACAAATATTGGATAAAAGCGATATCGTTAAACAGTAGTGGTGAAAATTAATGAGGTCACGCTTCCTCAGTATGAGAAGTATCCTGGCAATACTGAGTCATGTAACCTGTAAGAGTATACTGCATATCGAACGTTGAGATCAAACGAATCTGAAGATATGTCAGCATTCCATAGGTTTGTACTGTCTACAGATGGTAAACGAGGCTAGAATAGACGGCAGAGGGAAATTTGGGTTTGGCACCGCGTGGTGTCATGCAAAGCGTAGCAATTGGTAGGTTAATGCTATTTTAAAGAGTCGTTTGAACAAATTAGGCCTGGGAAGCAACTCTATCCAGCCGTTGATGTCATATTATAAGGGAGGTTTCACCATCAAACCATTCAATAAGACTTCAAGGTCGGTGCGTCATATGAAGTCACTTTCGGCTAGCTTCGGTCCCGGGTGAATGGTTGTCAAGGGTGAAAGGAACTGCGTGTTTGGATGCGAACAGCATCTGCTACCAACATCTCTAGGTGCGCTCTCAATTGTAGCCATGAATTTAGGAGAGGTTGTGGCCTGGGCTGAGTTATCCAGCTCCTGGTGATTCTGCGTCTATAGGTGGCAAAATATGATAGTTCTCACGTGCTGAATAGAAGCTCGAAGTGTATCTCCATGCTCAGTGTGTCGGTATGATCAGGCATCATAATCCGCATATCGAGTAAGAAAGAGAAACATAGAGGGATGAGAAGTGAAGTACGTTTCCTCAGGATTTGGGGAAGCAATATTGAAGACTAGAGTATCTAACTTCAGATACTTTTATATGCGCCAACATACCTTCTTCAGCTAAGTCTAACCATGGTGGGGTTTAAAAGAAGCTTCGGCGAAAATTGACCAGTATCCTACGTAGTGAATGGGAGCGATGGCAATCGGTAAATACGAAATAAGCTAACCATGATATAGGCTAAAAATTACTTTCGAGGATATTTGTAAAGTAGGAAACTGGACAGAATCTATGACAGTCTGCAAGTCTAAGCTTAGACTGTCGCTTCGGCTTATTGGTTTAAAGTTTTCATTGAAGTCAGATGGTTATCGATGGAATAGAAAAGACTGGGAGTGCAGGATTCCAACATTATGCATGAACTTCGATGCTTTTGGCAACGAAGACCTCTTAAAAGGTGTCAGCCTAACATTTTTGGAAAAAACTGGAAGTGCCATCAGTTGCAAGCTTTGACACAACTTACACTGGATATTGTGCACACTGGTGCTAACCACCAAAGATTCATTGCCGCTGGAGGACGGTGTCTACTGGTTCGGCAGAGAGTGCACAAGTAAACGATGGCAAGTTAAATTTGTGTGGAAGTATTTCGTAGACTTCTGTTTGGGGTGATCCGTGTTTTTGTGCACAAATGCCTGAAATGAACACTATTTGACAAGCAGAAATAAAGTGTTCATTGGACTGCAACTTCATGGTTATCTAAATCCAGAATTTACCCGTTATAAAAGTGATCACCGCAGTGAAGCACTTGCACGCACTATTATTATAAGTTATGAACAACAAAGGTTCAGGGATACTTCCCTATATTATTGTGGGTAAGAAGGCTGTCCTATATGTTGGGTTAGCTGCTATTTATATCCAGCAATCAGATTTCGGTAAACACGCATCCACATCATGTCATGCCTACCCATGAATAAGTTTATTGCTGAGTTCCCTCAGATGTAATAAAGTGAAGGACAAAACTAAGCCTTGGACCATAAAAGAGGGATTCACCAATGTGGGTGGATGTTCGAGCCCCTTCGCCCCATTATGTGGTTTGAGTCATGCTCGGTTAAAAGTTGGACGCCGGATGAAAAGCCCTGAAAGGCATCAAGAAGTAAAGTGAAGCTGCAGGACACTGACTTAACCCCCAAACGGAACAGATACTCTCTACTATCTGCTGTGAATAAACCATTAACCCACTCTTTATTTCTTTATCTGGAAACACATGAAGCTCTGTATGAAGTTTGATAAGTGACCTCAAGGTGCAAGTTTTAGTTCTGTCAGACAGGAAGTTGTGGTGTTGAGGTGGCACTAGAGACAAGAAGACACTGATCGTTGATGGATGCTTACGGGAAGGTAAGAGTTGCACCGGGCGCGAAAACCAAATTAACCGTAATTATACTGCGTCTGCTGAACTGACGTCCTGTCGAATAACCGAGGACACATGTTATCGCGACTGCGTAGAACAACTTACTGTTTGACTAAGAAGCGTGTTTACGAGGTTTTTCCGCTCGATCCTTAACCCAGCTGAACTGAATACGTGCTTATATTCACATATGTATGCATTTGTATGTGTATGTATATTATATATAGGGATCTTGTGACTCGTCGCAGGCAACTGTGTACACCAATATTTCATGCGAACGTATAAGAATATCAAGGGAAACTGATGAGATAATAACTCTCCTTTATTAATCCCACCAGTCATATTTCCGCCGAAATATCGAAGTAGCATTCGGGTCATTATTGCAGAAGCGAAATTCGGGCACCGTGGTTAAGTACTAATCACTGGTAGTTTTATCCACGTTTACTACACACTAGAACAGTAGTGCATACCTACGATATTTCACAAAAAATTACGGCCCATTATCACACATATACACCATGTATATAAATATTACCGAAGATTTCCCACCACCGCTTGTCATAACCGTATCTGTAAAAATGATATGCACAGGTAAATTCGGAAATGAATTACTATTACTATTATTATTACCCTAGGGTGGTAACCTCAACTGAATTGTCAGTCATAACAGGAGCATTTGAGTCGGCAATAATTTAAACGCGCCCTGTCTATTTCCTGCCACCGAATGACCGATGTTTATGACACTGGATAAGCTCATCGACAAGCTGTTTGCGTTGGCAGTTCTGCGGCCGCACAAGCGCTTCGCTTCTACTGGCAGCCACAATTCTGATCACCAACGTTTCCGGTTGGTAAGTTTTCGGCACCAGGTTAGGTTATATTTCCACAGTTTGACACAAAAGTTAACTACAGGCTTTATCGTGCTCGTTATACGTTGTGGCATTGTTTCTAAGATCACGATCACTTTCTGTGTTCCGTATGAAAATTTTACTTGTCTGCATAGGTTTTACAATGACGTCTGTCACTAGATGGTATTTAAAATCGTTTACTCATGCGACAAGTATAGGCCGGACCTCCACTTTCTGGGCGGAATGTAGGTGCAGCTATTCAGAAAAAATGATCCTCACAGATCCCAGCTGGTTAGCTGAGGCTTTAGACTGCATTCGAAAGAACTCGCTATTTCAGTTTTAACTTCAGAGTGTATGCAAACAGAACACATAGAATACACACTACCAGACACAATGCAATTACACCTGAGGGTAGCTCCTAGTCCACCTATATATTGCACGCACAAAATTCAGTTTGTACGCCAGTGCCCGAAGGAAGAAACACTAGTTTATGTTTTTAGTCGGGACTTGTTCAGACACAGCACAAGTCTAAGGCACGAGGCAAATTAAAGAAAGGCTGGATTCAGCGTTTTTTACTTGACCAGGTTTACACAGCACAAAATGGACACACCGGGGTCCCTTCTATTCTGCGTTAGGCAGGAAATACTGCACGCATAACTTTATGAATACATATATGCCTGTACAAGAGTCACGTTTATCCAACATGGCCTTTCCAAACTTCGGGGGACTGTAGAACGTCTGATACTCCCGGTAGAGGATGCTAGTGGTTGTCATCAAAGTGAAACAAAGGAGGCCTGAAAAATGCTAAGCACAAAGCTGAGTTAGTTTTTACTGGATCAAATGGCTCCCTATTTCGTAGGAACATACTTGCTTTACTTGCACTTATACAGCTTAATTAGCCCTAGTTTTTATCCAACTGAAGCCAGCCGCCAGTGTGAGAACACATCGCGTTCACCGAAAAAGTGAAAAATCTTGCCGGATCCTGGTAAGTAGAGTGTGTGAAACTTGAAAGCATTGATTAGTGTTTTTGGGGGGTGAAGCTATCCGCATAAAGCCGAATGATCAGGTGGAATGGCCACGGTGGATGGATGACAGATCAGTAGGAGGAAGAAGGTAATTTCCTGGCTTTTTCAGTTTCATGTCGATGATCACATATGTGAGACTTAGGTTCTGCCAGTTCTCCTTAGTATCATGTTTTTAAAAAGCGCCGTAACGCGACCCAGACGTGACTTAGTTTCACATCGAAATAACCCGGAATAAACCGTGATATTTTCGTTGGACCCCACTGCTAGCTGGTTGGTAGTCGAAGGTTTTCGGTTTGCATCCAAGTGCTATATAGTGCGTACAGAGTCGCACAGAGAGCCTAACCCTGAAGTGACCTCCATAGTGTAGCGGGTTTTGTTTAACCTAACTATAATGAGAGTTAGCCATGCTTGAGATCGGTCCAGAGTCAAACTACCAACTTGACAAGCCTTCACACAGAAACTTATCTGGTGGAGTAAGAAAGGTCAGCTCCCCGTCTATAAAATTAACCGATATAGTATAAGGATATTTCTGAACCGTTTTCAGGTGTTGAGTACTATACGACAAAGCAGCTTTCAGATTTTTGTTTGAGGAAAGAAATCTATCCACTTGTAGCAATACTTCGCAGTAAACCTTTGTGCCCACGTGTTCCTCTTTTGTGCGTCTCAACTGATTACACGGACACCACTAGCTCCTGAGGTTCAGCACTCAGTACGAAGACCAATGGTTGAAGAGGTTGAATTTTGTCCTTTGCTTTCATACTTCACCGCTACGTCCTCTGAGGTGTTCTAGCCCAGCGGGTGTGAAAAAGAGGATGGATAAGGCAAACGGTCACTTCTTAAAAACATGTACCGATGAGTATATCCCTTATCTAGTAATGATGGATAGCGTCTAGCGAGACAGAAATCTGTGCACACGAATCAAATGACGGTAGGGCATGGGCATCACAGTGCTGGTGTAGCAGGAGCATTTACAGTCATACTTGCCAACCACGTAGTACTTCTGCCCTTCTTGAAAGACTACGTACGCCTCTGTAGATTCAACTACCTGTACATCTCTATGCGCCAGGATACTTTTGTGCACATAATATACCGCGTAGTTCGTCACAGAACGCAGCATATCAGAGGTTATGTAGTCCGCCTGTAATTACAGAGATAAGAATAAAGGACTCACGTCAAAATGCAAGCTGCGATTTCCCTCATTGGCATTTTTGCGATATAGTTGCATGGAACATTTCCAAGTTTTGCGAATACTTAATTCCAGAGGAAAACATTTACGTAAATGTTTCTTCAAGTGCATATGGCAGCACTCATCTCTGTTGTTTCTTTTGTTACCTAGGGTAACAATATCCTGCATGAGGCATGAAGCCCACATATACTGACTGGCCCACAGATTTGCTTCCATGTAGGCAAATGCTACTGGATGTTCTGTTCTCATAGCTAGATTTAATTCATTAAATCTAAGGAATTATTATATATCAGTGACAAAACCTGGCAGGGTCACGAGTGTATACCGTTTCCCGGAACACAAGTTTACATTCCTGATTACGAAACTGCAACGTCCTCATTTTTTGGTATACAAATTACCTTATTATTAAACGAGCGTATAACATTAAGGGCACATAAGACAATGGAACAGTACGGGAACTGACTGCGAATAGCCCCTGCTCCGCTGCACTATTGTCGATAGCAAACTTCACGATTCGTGATGTTTTAACCATGATGGTCCTAAAAGACCTCAACACATTCTCCACGTCCATCAGGCGTTCTCGGTGAGTTAAACTATGCATCACAGGGAAGCTGCGGTATAGGCCATCAGTGATAGCCAGTTGATAAAGCGAGCGGCTAAAAAAGCATCTAATAATTGCAGTTAGGTACCCTTCCTTAGAGGTGTCGTATGTGGAATCCATACCGACAACTTCCGGAAACTTCTTGTGTTTGTTTATCATTTCCCGAGTCTCAAAACTAAACATCTTGACTCTTCTGACTCCGTCCAGTAAGTGCCACACTAAACCTGTCTCTTGGATTTCTGAAACCAGTGAATCTGTATCACGGATTCCTAAACACAAAGTGAGCATAGCACATTCTAGGGTATACCAGTTCCCGGAAACTTCTATAGTCATCGTAGGTCATCAGTTTACCGAACTCGACGCCAACCATATCAATAATTTGACTCGGTGGTGCATTACGTTTGGTAAGCGGCAGAATCCTCATTTGCTGGTCACCACTAAGTCTTCGAACACGTGGTTCCACGGACGTCAGCAGTTTTGACCATAAGTTGTGGTTGTGTACAGTGTTAACAGGTTCTACAACTTCATAATGCCTGAAATCCAGTTTAATTCGGAAAGTGAATGGGCAACCCAAGGACTTAGATCTGTAATGCATATGTTATGGCTTCTGTTACAGCACTTACTGTGATTTTCTCTGCTTACTGCCTTCTGTCTTTCTCCACCGACCAACATGGCGACGAAAAACAGGATACCGGTACTTATACGCCGGGTCTGCATGATTGTTCTCGTCCCTATTTAGGCGAAAATCACGAATCCTATACAGACTCTTAGTTTCCTTTGACATTGACTAACTTACATTTTCAGATCGTTTAATGCATGCTTCACAGTCTGGCCATGTTTTTAGGTTTCAGTTTACCACAAGTTGTCTGAATTCAGCTACCAAATTTTCTGGCCCAACATGCGAACTCAAGGACATTTTAATGTCGCTTTACAAATGCCGATTATTAAAAAAACCGCTTCTGTTCAGCACAAGAACAAAGCCTCGATGTTTCCAAAATTAGAAAATATCGCTTTTTCTTTTTAAGGGCTATATCTCACTGATCAATCAGAAAACAACAATCAACGCTTTATCTCACTCGCGCGAAATAGGAAATTACGCTGGCACTCTTCAAGCCGCGCGCGAAACAGTTTAGTCCTGAAGGAGAACGGGTAACCTTGGTACTATGGTCTATAGTGTAAGTGTAATGCTTATTGCTTTAGTATGCACTGTGATCTCTGCTTTGTAACTTCCTGCATATAGTAATGTGACGACAATTATTTTTCCATGGTAACACACTGGAATGTATTTTAGGTTTATGTTATTGTTTTCGTCTGTTCACACTAGTCATGAATTCTGTACAAACTGTTCATTTGCCTTAGGACTAAGTGATGAGTGAAACAGTTCATCTCTTTGATGCATGCTTCTCACCTAAGATGTTCGTAAAGGTGATGCCTCACAAGTTGACTGAGTTGTCTCCAGGTTTACTTATTCAATATTCGAACTGAAGGGGACTTTGATACTATCTCCCCAATGCGGATTGTTTCACAAATGCATCTATACCACGCAGGAACAACCGAGTGGTTACTAAGATAAGGTAATAGAGCCTTTGGTTTTCTGAAGGAAAAGTCGTGTTGACCGATCGGAAAGGCAAAATCTAGTGGTTTAGCTCACTCGCGCGAAGTCATAAGTTAAATATACGACGGACACCCGCTTCAGAGGCAACTAATCACGTCAGCTAATGTTTTTTCATCCTGGAGAGCGCTGAGCTTGTGGTAAGACTGCTGATATATATATATATATATATATATATATATATATATATATATATATATATATATATATATATATATATATAATAAGTAGTATAATAGTAATAATAATAATAATAATTCCGTTGAATTGTAAGTAATCCCTTCAAGTAAGACTGTCTCGTTGTCTGTTAGCCTAGCAAGGTCTTATATATATATATATATATATATATATATATATATATATATATATATATATGTTCGACTGTGTGCGAATGAACCTTGAAGTTTGAGTGAAGAATATCCTTTACAACCGAAATTCACTAAACGTACTCGAATCTTAATGACTTAAGAAGTTGTTACTAGTCAGAATTCATATACTTGACATCACGGTCCAAATTGCCACACCTCGCAAAAGTACGTCAAAGCAGAAGGTACCGTGATGAAACAGAGAAGTAGAAAAGTTCATCATTTTCAGCGACTCACAAAACAACGGGAAAAGGGTAAAACAGTAACGAAATTCGATGCAATCATAGCGAGTACTAGGTATGGATGCATCTGTGGTCTAAGTCGCATCACCGGTTTTCAGCAACCCATTTCAGCTGTCATATGCATTCTAACTGTGAAGTCTGAATGGCCCCCCATGGCTATGACCAAAAGTCAAAAATTTCATAGACTCATACTACATTTTAATCGGGTAGCCTCTAACATGTTCAAACAACCTAAATCATCTAACATTCCGCGTTTCGGTAAACAGTGACTAGGCATTCGTAACACAGGTACCATTCAACCGTCACTCAGTCCATATTACAGCATGAGTCCTATCTGCCACACAATAAGAAAACAAGCGAAAAGGTACACAGATCAAAGGTAAAGAATAAGGCAATCAAAACTGATAGAAAACCATGAGCTCAAAGAAATAAGACGGTAAACTGGCATGACGATCAAGTTGGAGATGATATTTGGATACATCTGCCCCCACTGATATCGATTCTGAGCCATATAACGTTGAAAATCCAACCACCAGTTTATTATCAGGAATCAGGAAGTTCGTCTTCCTTCTAAAGAGCTAAGACCAACAGTCAGAGACTTCACAGACCGATGCTGTTTCATTCTGATCCTCTCTAACTTCTTCGTATCCAACGCCTACTTCAGCTAGTAATATCATCACCAACCAGGCATTAGTGGCTGCACAACGGTCTAAGTTGTCACATCTCATATCAGCACATCAGGTAACAAGGCAGTAACATAAAGATGAAGGAAATAAAAATCGGTCAAAGGAAGTAGAAGTAGAAAGTAGTAAAATTAGTAAAGTTAAGATTAAGTATAGCGATTAGGATGAACCTCGCCTGGTTAACTAGTTTACTAGTTACTAGCCGGTCCTAAGCCCGGGTAAAGAGAGAAGGTTGGGCATAGGGCTAGCAACCCTACCCCGTAAAACAAATCTAACCGCTAAAGAAACTTCAAAGCACAAACAAAATATAAAAAATGAAAACAAACTTATTCCCCGCTGGAATCGGAGAGGCGAAATGACGCCAGTTGGTGAAAGCCTTCGGGAAGCCAATTGGCCGATGTGTCTTCTCTCGATGAAAGCGAAAGTAAACGTGGGGACATGGAATGTCCGCACCATGTTTGAACCCAGTAAGGCAGCCCAGATTGCAAGGGAGATGAGAAGGTATAACATCGAAGTGCTTGGGATTTGCGAAAGCAGATGGAATGGGAGTGGACTCTCCAAACTGTCAACTGGAGAATCAATAATCTACTCCGATATTGTCACCCAGACAACAACCACGAGCACACTGAGGGAGTGGCTATCATGATGTCCTCAAGAGCATCGAAGGCTCTCATGCAGTGGGAACCAATCTCCTCCAGGATCATGACAGCAAGATTCAACTCAAAAGGAAGAAAGGTCACAATCATACAATGTTATGCACCTACAAATAATGCAGATGAAGAGAAAAAGGAGGATTTCTACAGACAACTTCAATCAACACTGGACAAGACGTCAGTTGGCGATATCAAAATTCTGATGGGCGACATGAATGCCAAACTGGGAGGGGACAACACGGGAAGAGAACTAACCATGGGTCGAGAGGCACTAGGTGAAATGAATGAGAATGGAGAATTGTTTGCAGAATTCTGCGCATTCAACGATTTGGTGATTGGAGGCAGTGTGTTCAGGCACAAAGATATCCACAAAGCGACATGGATTTCACCAGATGGACACACTAAAAATCAAATCGACTTTATCTCAATCTCAAGAAAATGGAGACGCAGTCTACTTAACACAAGGTCAAGAAGAGGAGCAGATGTAGGTTCAGACCACTATCTAGTGCAAGGAACCTTCCAAATCAAGTTAAAAGCCTTCAAGGAAGCTGGTGATAGACCTCAACCCAAGTACAACACTCGGAAACTGAAGGATGAAACTACAAAGGAGATCTTCACGTCAGCCATCAAGACAAAATGGGAGACATCGAGGGACATCCGTGAAGAAACCTGTGTGGAAGAACACTGGAAGTCTTTGAAAGCTATGTGGAAAGAAACCTGCACAACAGTATTAGGAAGGAAGAAGAAAGAAGACAAGGAATGGATCTCGACGGATACCTGGAAGCTGATAGAGGAGAGGAGGATGGTGAAGCAGAAGATAAACCAGTGCAAGGATGCTCAACGACAAGAGGAACTGAGCACAATGTATAAAACACTGGACAAAGAAGTGAAGAAGAGTGTACGCAAAGACAAAAGACACTTCTACGAAACACTGGCAAGTGAAGCAGAACAGGCTGCAGGTAAGAGAGACCTGACGACATTGTATCAAATAACCAGGTTGCTATCAGGGGCGAGACCAACACAGATGAAACCAATAAAAGATGAAGAAGGAAATTTAATTACAAAAGAAGAGAAACAGAGGAAACGATGGGCCGACCACTTCAAGAAGCTCTTGAATCGACCACCACCTGCACTTCGTCCAGAAATACCACCTGCAGCCGCTGAATTACAAGTGAACATTAATCTCCCAACGAAAATGGAAGTCCTGAACGCCATAAAGCTACTGAAATGCGGGAAAGCAGCAGGACCAGATGGAATACCGCCAGAAGCACTGAAAACAGATGCAGAGACAACAGCGGACATGCTCACACCACTATTGCAGAAGGTGTGGAAGGAAGAGAAGGTACCTGACGATTGGAAGAAGGGTTACCTTGTCAAACTGCCGAAGAAGGGAGACCTCAGTGCTTGCAAGAACTGGCGCGGAATCACTCTCCTGTCCACCCCAAGTAAAATATTAAGCCGCATCATCCTGGAGAGGCTAAGGGATGCACTGGATTCAAAACTACGACGGGAACCGGCAGGCTTCAGGAAGTACAAATCATGTGCAGACCAAATTGCAACGCTTCGTATCATCATAGAACAGAGCATAGAATGGCAATCACCTCTCCACCTCAACTTCATCGACTTTGAGAAGGCCTTTGACAGCGTCGACCGAGAAGTAATTTGGAAACTGCTTCAATACTACGGAGTACCGCAAACCTTTATCCGCCTCATTCAACAACTATATGGAGATGCTACATGCCAAGTAATCCACAACGGGAAGCTCAGTGATGCCTTTGAAGTGAAGACAGGAGTGAAACAAGGTTGCCTACTATCCCCCATGATATTCTTGATTGTGGTGGACTGGATCATGCAGCAAACAGTAGGCAGCGAGAAGAGGGGGATACACTGGACGACGGAAAAGAACCTAGAAGACTTGGATTTCGCCGATTACTTATGCCTAATGTCACATAAACTTGAAGATCTGCAGGCAAAAACTAACAAGTTGATAGAAGAGGCAGGGCAGCGAAGACGGGACTTCAGGTGAATATAGAGAAGACAGAAGTGATGAAGATACCGCACCACCACCATCAACAACAACAACAACAAACTCCAATCACCGTCAACGGGAGAAACTTAAAGGAAGTAACCTCCTTCACTTATCTAGGAAGCACTGTTTCAAGTACAGGCGGGACGGACGAGGACGTCAAAGTCAGAATCGGAAAAGCAAGACAGGCGTTCATTAGCCTGAAACCAGTGTGGAGATCTTCTGCACTCAGCATGCGGAACAAGATACGGATTTTCAACACCAACGTCAAGTCAGTGCTCTTGTATGGCTCAGAGACTTGGCGCGTCACGAAAGGTATTTCCAATAAACTACAGACATTCATCAACAACTGCTTACGCTCGCTGCTGAAGATCAGATGGCCAGAAAAAATAAGCAACAAGGAACTCTGGGAACGAACCAACCAAGAACCTATCACGCAACAAATATGCAGGAAGAAGTGGAGATGGATTGGCCATGCACTGAGAAGGCCGACGGAGGACATCACGCGTCAGGCCCTCGAGTGGAATCCCCATGGGAAGCGACGAGTTGGATGTCCGAGGGTGACATGGAGGAGGTCGTGCGAGCAGGAAATGA